GTCTACATTCAGGAGTCTTTCTCCTCTCGAGCTGAGCAGCAAGGACAGAAGGTTCGAGCGCTGGTGTGTTATCCCGGCGGTGAAGGTGTACTTTTGCTGTGAGAGTAAAGTCCGAAGTCACCTTTTTTATTGCTATTGTGCTTCTCAAATGCTAACCTTGAGCGACTGATGTTGTGTTCTGATGCTGATGACATGATCCAGATTGAGCGCAGAATAGAGAGATTGGGGAAGGGAAAAGCGAAGGATCCTCAAACGAAAGCAAAGGTGCAGTCATGCCTTTGTCCATCATTGTTTGTCCACAACCTGGCAGTTTCCTGCCTTTGCCTCTCTCCTGGATGAAGTGTTCATGGCCACTCCCAAGTCATTTAACCCTTGTTATGATTTATATGTCATTGAGGAAGGGTTTGACTGAAGGAATGAAAGGACATAGGGATTTACTCATCTCTTTGCACTACCCTCACCAGTGAAAATCACTTTGGAAAGGCACTGTATTCCTTGTTGATTGCTCATGGTGATGGAAGACTGTCACATCTTTTCCATGGCGATGCTACCCATGCCTTGATATTGCCCACTGCCCAGGCAAACTTGTGAATTGAAATTGAGCCAATCCAAAAATCTCGGAGGCTCGGGGATCCCTACCGAAATGGTTGGCGGGGCCAGCCAAAAGAAAAGAAAAAGTGTCACACTGGTGTTTTGGCAAAGCATGTCATGCAGGGGGAATCCGCCTCGGGAAAAAGAGACTCAGATGTACCGGTGGTTTGAAGAGATTACGCTCAACCTGACAGGCGTGGCAGAGATGCATAACATCTCTGCTTGCTACACATATGGAAGGAACTCTCCATTCTGTGGTGATATTCAAACGTACTAACAATGCTAACATAGTATATTTGATGCTATTCCGAAATAGTCTGCCTCATCTTTGTAGATCTATCGCTTGCGTGACGAGTGCGTAAGGCATTGCTCATTTCTTCTGTCTGTTATTCATTGTGAGTCATAAGCTGCATGTACTCTTGTCCAGGTCCATTGCCATAGCTAGGGATGAAATAGAGGATTTAGCTGGTGTTACTATGCTATCCCTCAGCTTCAGTACTGGTCTTGCGTCATGTTTGAATCTGTGAAACCCGCTTTTCGTCCAAAAGGTGTTAGCCCCTTACCTTGTTGTATCCATCTGATTGCACTCACGATTCCAACTTCCAGCTCATGATCTGTTTATTTAACTTTATTACTGTGTGGGGATCCGGGCCGCCCGGGTGACCGGCAGGGGCCCGGGGGAGGTCCCGGGCGGCCTGGCCGGGCAGGGCACCCGGGTGGGGGCCGGCCCCCCCCAGCGCACTCACCTGTCGGGGGATTTCGGACCCCCTTTGTGTGTGTGTGTGTGTGTGTGTGTGTGTGTGTGTGTGTGTGTGTGTGTGTGTGTGTG